TGCACTGTAACTGCAGTCTGAATGGAACCATTACCCTTGTCTAATAGCATCTATCAGTCTGCAACATCTCTCTTTATCAATCTACAGCATCGCACAGGATAAGCAGGGTTGCTCAGAGACAGCACTGGCTCCACAGGAGACAGAGACCATTGCAGTGGTATGGTGATTTATTAAATGTCACTCTTCCATCTGATACTGCAAAGAGCCAGAATGGAGATTTGTAAAAGACAGCGAGATCTAGTGGGTAGAACACTGAGAGGAGACCTTTCACTGACTTGCTGTACGGCCTGGAGAAAACACTCTGGCTATGTCTAGACTATGGAGTTTTTCTGGGGTACCAGAGGTATACTGGAAAAAAAAACCCAGTTACTTACCTCGTAACTGTTGTTCTTCGAGACGTTTTGCTTATGTCCATTCTGTCTAGGTCTGCGCATCCTGTGCACAAGTTCTGGAAGCTTTTTACCCTTAGCAGCAGCCGTTGGGCGAGCCAGGGAGCCCCCTGGAGTGGCACCGGTATATCCACGCCTATAACCCCCTGCTGGCCCTCCTACCCTTCAGTTTTTTCTTGTTGGACATTTCCGATGAAGGGGAGTTGGGTGGGTTCGGAATGGACATAAGCAACACATCTCGAAGAACAACAGTTACGTGGTAAATAACTGTTTTTCTTCTTCGAGTGCTTGCTCATGTCCATTCCGCCTAGGTGATTCCAAGCTAAACCCCTCTGGAGGTGGGGTCGGAAACCTAAGATGAAACAGAGGAACTGCCCTGCCCACTGCTGCATCCTGCCTAGACTGTTGTGCGATGGAGTAATGTTTGGTGAACGTGTGAATCGAGGACCAAGCAGCTGCCCTGCAAATGTCTGCGATCAATACCTGGGCTACAAAGGCTGTTGAGATGGACCGCGCTCTTAGAATCATAGAATAATAGGACTGGAAGGGACCTCGAGAGGTCATCGAGTCCAGCCCCCCGCCCTCAAGGCAGGATCAAGCTCTGTCTACACCATCCCTGACAGATGTCTATCTAACCTGTTCTTAAATATCTCCAGAGAGGGAGATTCCACCACCTCCCTTGGCAATTTATTCCAATATTTGACCACCCTGACAGTTAGGAATTTTTTCCTAATGTCCAATCTAAACCTCCCCTGCTGCACTTTAAGCCCAGGCAGGCACCCTCCAGGGGTCATAGGAGCAGAAGCATGGTCCCTGGTCCATCTAGCCCAAACGGCCAGTGGCGCGATCCATCCTGTAGGCCTGGCTGTTTCTGGCAGTCAGAATCTTAGGGGCACCCAGAGCATCTCTGGGCAGCTTGGCTCCGTCACCAAGGGACCTACTGAGCCCAGTTACACATCTGGCCTGCACCGTGTCCCCTGGCAAGGAGTGCTCAGACGCCCGCCAGCCCATGGAAGTGCTGCCTCGCGCTTAACCAGCTATCTGCTCCTTTCACTGCCGACCCTCCCGCCCAGTGCTTGTGCTAGGAGAGCAAACAGCACTCTCCCCCTTCCTCCCTCCGCACCAGGCACGTTCTAAGGACTTCCACCCTAGCCCCTCACGTCTCTTTCCAGAGCTCAACTAGCCCAGTCTTATTCAGGTCTCCCCAGATGGAAGCTGGCCCAGACCCTGCCTTGTTTTTTGGATTGATTCCATTTGGGATAGTCCCTCAGATGTCACCAAAATAGAATGGCTCATGGTGGGACTCTGCCTCTCGGTCCCTGCAGTGAAAACTGATGCAAAGAATTCACGTTGCTCCGCCCCAAAAGGCGGATTTTGCATTTGTGGCCAGTGGCTTTGCTGGCCGGCAGCCCTGCTGCTGAGGCACTTGTGTGCGTGTCTTCTGCTACCACAACAAACTGCTCTTCACAGTGCTTTCTAGCCTGCCTAATTCTGCTGTTACCCTCGGCTTGCCAGAGCTTAGGGTCCTTTCTAGCCTTCCCTCAGCAGGTCTCTGCACTCCCCTCTCCTGCGGCTCAGGCACGGGGACGTGTTGGCCTCTGACAGCTCTCATTTAAGATGTCTCTTTCCTTGGGGCCTCTGTTCTGGTGGTAAGCAGTTTCTATGCAGCTCGCCAGCATTTGCAGGCATTCATGCTCTCACAAGTTCTGTTTAACTAGCTTCTTGTTTCTGTGTAGTTCCTTTTTTGAAGCGAAATGCTACCGCGGTGGATCTCTGGTGTGTCCTCCTCCACGACGGGCTGTTTAATTACAGTGCGGCTGCTATCACTGAGCAGTTCAGCCACATCCAGCTCTTGGAGCAGGCCCTGCGTGCCATTTAGGGTTGTCAGGAACCGCCCCTCCCCGTGTGGCTTCCAGAACCAGCTGCTCCAAGCAGTCATTTAAGGTGTCAAACTATTTCCGCATCCCAGCCTGAGTCAACACGGGGCAGCTGAGATAACCTGGTCTTTGGCTTTCTGGCTTTGCATTAGCCAGGCTGGGCAGGGAGGGCAGCCCCGGCCTCCCTGTCAGGGGCTGAGACTGGATCATGCGAGGATTCCCGGTTCTGTTCCCTCCCGCTGTGGGCAGACAGGACCCTGGGCTGGATTCGGGCCCCCCTCTCTACTCTCCAGCACCAATGGCTGATGGCACATTCCACTGCTCTCCTGCCTCGGGAATGGAACTTCAGGTCCCACCATCTCGCCATCTGCAGTGCCCGTGCCCTTGCCCCTCCCTGCGCCACGCTCCAGGCAAAGACCTATGCACACGGGGCAGTCGGGAGAGCCACACTGCTTTCCTTTTGGCCCCTTCAAGGAAACACTGCCCCATGCTGGGTGTGACAATCCAGGCCTCCCCTGCCCACACTCAGCCGCAGACAGAGGGCTGACACACCAGGAGGTGCCAGGCCTCTGGCGGGGCCCTAGGGCCCTCTGGCTAGCTGTCACCCCCAAGCAATAGCAGGCTGCCCACAAGCCCCTTTCTGCAGTGGAGAGGGGGAGGAAGCAGCTGGTCCCTGCCTAGGAGCTCACGTTCTTGAGGAACTCCTCAGCCACGATGCGAGCCCGGGCGTTGACAGACAGCTTCATCTCGCTGATCTCCTTGTCAATCTCTTCCATGAAGTGGATCACAAAGTCCACTAGCTTGTGCTTGTACATCTGCTCCGTGTGGAAGTTCGTGATCAGGAAGCTGATGTCATAGCCCTGGTGGGGAAGACGAAAGGAGCAACGCCCGGTCAGCGAAGACACACGCTCCTCTCCTGCCTCCCCAGCCAGCTCACCTCCACGGGTTTCCTGCGCAGGATGAAGAAGTTCTCAGCCCTCATCATCATGAAGCGCATGAATTTGTGGCACAGGATCTTCTCGATCTCGTCCGCCTGAAGGGGGCAGGGACAATCAGACTTCCTCAAGCTGAGTGCAAGCCCCCCGCCCCCTCTGCTGCCCCCGCCGCCTCTTCACACAGAAGCTGGCACTTGTGCCTAGTGCTGATGCAGGAGAGGCAGCCCTGGGGATGGACCTGGCGCAGCATGAGCAGCACCACCCCTGCCAACAGGCCTCATCTTTGTCCCAGAGCAGCCACCCACAAGGCTGGGTCCTGCCGTGCTGGCGGGCACGTGTGGAGCCCTGCACAGGAGCCAGAGCAAGACGCCAGCCCCTCTGTGCACTAGTGGCTTGCAGAGGAAGAGGGAAAGCTGGCTTGTCTGCAGAAGGCCAGGTAAAGCCTTCCCTGTGTGGCACCACCCTGGTTATCCTGGGCAGCCTGTGCGCCGCCCCCTCTATCCCAGGGACTCTTCTCTGCACATCTGTCTCCTGGGAGCCAGAGACCATCTCTGCAGGAACAAGCCCTCAGCCCCTGGCCCAAGACTGCGAGCGCTTTGCATTGCTCCTGTGACTGGCAGCTGCAATGCAAGAGGCACGAGGAGCCCCCGGGGACTAGGACTCGCTCCCAGGGACGGTTGGGTAATGCAGCCAGGCTCAGGTGGCAACGGAGACACTCCTGGACTAAGCACAGGC